GTGAGAGTGTGTGTGTGTGTGTGTGTGAGAGTGTGTGTGACTGTGTGTGTGTGTGTGTGAGAGAGAGAGTGTGTGTGTGTGTGTGTGTGTAAATATTGTGTCTTCATGACTGAAATGTTATGAACATATAATTCCTGTCATTAAATTATATTTTATATATTTATGATCAGCTTCATGTCTGAGTTTGTCTGAATCAATGCAGTTGTTCCAGTAATGAAGTTATTTACATATTCTAGTGTGTGATAGCAGAGATATTCAGGCCTTTTTTGTGTAAAATGAATTAAAAGGGATCTTTTAGAAGTTGTATTTTCGTTAAGAGAACATACTGACGTATTGTTTTCCCTTCAATGCAGTTCTTAAAGTTTCTTTGCTTGGCCTTAAAAAGGTCTTAAAGCTGCAGAAATACTGGAGAGAGACACAATATTGAGTGGCTGATCTTTAAGGGTTTCAGTAGTTAGATTTTATCCCTCAGTCTTGAGTTAATGTGTTGAATATGAGTCTGTTTATTGTGACATAAAAGGTGTTTCTGATCTTCAGAGTGGTGTGCGAGGCGTTCCTCTGATATTTCTACACACTCGAGATAAAGACACGCCTGGACTTGTGACATGAACGCTTCTGGAGAAAAACAGGAGACTGCACTCTGAGCGTGTGAATGTGAGGATGTGATTACAGTCGATCCGAGCAGGGGTTTCTGAATAAGACCCAATTAAACACAGCTTTGGATCAGAGTAACAGAAGACTGAAGGAGTGTGTGTTTCTGATCTGATCTGAGTGTGAGTTTTCATAATGAACTCATTAATCGGATAAGTAGAGAGTGTTTGCGCTGAAACTGACCGTACAGGTTTGCGCTGTGATGTGATCAAAGTCCTTATTGGCTCTGACACAGAACAGGGTGTGACACCGAGTGAGACTTTCTCACACACACACACACACACTCTCTCTCACACACACACGCTCTCTCTCACACACACACACTCTCACACACACACTCTCACACACACAGGTGAGTCCGAGCGCTCTGCTTTATGTCAGTCTATTTCAGATTTCAGACTTTTATATGTGAAAGTATTTGCTTGTTGCCTAGCTTTAATATCCAGAATGTTTATATATCTTGTGTTTATCATTAACTCATCTCACGGTCAGATTTAGCACATATGTGACCCTGCAGCACAAAAGCAGTGTTAAGTCGCTGGGGTATATTTGTAGCAATAGCCAACAATACATATAATGTGTGTTAGACTGAGAAGAAGGATCGGTGGTAACGAGAAGCTGCTAATCAGCAGGGTGTGTAGTAATTATGTCTGAAGGGGCGTTGCTGGTTGATCAGGACGGGTAACTTCACGTCACACCCTGAGAAGCAGGGAAAAAGGGCTGGAGACTCGAGAACAAAATACACTGTTGACACCTGCCACAAATATGCATGACAACACGCCTGCAGCACACTTTACATCGACACGCAAACACCTGCGCATTGTATGTGTGTCAGTCAAATGAGAGGATTTACTGTCGTTCATCTTCATAACCACAGACGCTTGATTTCAGAACACTGCCGTCTGGATTCACATCTATAACTCAACATGAGCACACAGACCAAATCCGGTAAGATCTGCACTTTATGATCTTATATTTACACATACACAGATGAGACCTGTCAGAAACATGCCTGTCAAAAACATGCATATATATATATATATATATTAAAATGAATATTTTGTGCATTATAACATTTCCATATTTCCTCCTGAAATATTACAGTAATGTGAAAAAAGTTATAGTACATGGTAAACAAATTTTTTTTTATTGCCTTTAATTTATTCTGATTTTGATAACAAAAAACTGCATTGTAGTAATTAGAATTACCATTGAGAATAATGGAAATTACAACTAAATGTGGGGAAAATGTGTTGAAAGAAAAATGTGACTGATGTTCCTATTGAATTGTTTTACCATGTTTTATATTAATATTATTTTAAGGATTTTTGATATCTTTAGATATTTGTTGAATATATATTCTCTTTGTATGTTATTTATTCTTCTCTTTTTATTGTGCTGCTGTGCCAAGTAGCCTTAAGTTCCTCTTTTGGGGAATCAATAAAGGAACAGGAACAATACTAATCCTGAAATAGGCATCAGTTCATTTCATAAATAATATATATGAAGTAATTTATATTCTGCATATGTTCTGATGAGATTCCCCCCCCCCCCCCCACCCAACCA